AGTTTGTGGGAAAGGTCACAGGCTGGGATGCGAACCTGTAACTTTCTCATTGGGTGGTGACAGATTTAACCACTGTTCCGCCGTGCCGACCCAAAATACTAACACCTTTTAAAATTATTTTAGTTTACGTGAAAACTCAGAATCCAACCAAAAACAAAACTTTTAGATATTTATGAAACAAAACGGGGGAGTTGTGGTGCAGAGGCTAGAGAAGGTGGGCCTGTGATCGGAAGGTCGCTGGTTCAACTCCCTACACCGACAACATCATAATGTGGATGTGAAAGTTGAAGCACCTGTCTCCACCCTCATCTGCCTCACTCTGGGCCCTTGAGCAAGGCCCTTAACACCATCTGCTCCCTTGGGTGCTCTCTGCTCCTCACAGAGGGCTGTGGTAGCTCGCTGGTCTGTGGTTCTGTTGAGGACATCCGGTGTAAAAACAATCACCAAGTCTTGGTGCGAGTTAGTTCACGGTGTCGACCCCTGAAGAAGGAGCAGCCGAAAGAAGAAAAAGACTCTTCATAGTTTCACTCATGCTGATTCTCAACAAATGTCCTCAGCGCTGAAATACTCGAGGGATTAATGGGAGTAATTACATTCCCTCGTACTGTCCACGTACTAAACTTTTCACAACAAGCTGGACACGTGATCCTTTGGAAACACTTCCATTGAAAGTGTTAATAATTTTATTGACGTACATTATATAGTAACTGTTGTCCTCTGATATTTTCTTGTTTCTAAACTGTCCTGAAAAGAAGGAGGACATTAACGTTGTTGTTCTCCTCGCAGGAAGAAGCTGACTTCAAGCCGCAGGCATCACCTGAAGGTAAACTGAACACACAGAATGCAGCTTTACAGAAAAGTTACACCAGAGTAAAGTCTTTTTACTGGGAAGAGCTAAAACAGTTCAGTTTATTTCTGTAGCTCCAAGTCACAACAAAGTCGTCTCAGGACACTGAACAGAAACATTCACATACATAAAAAAGACAATTGGTAAAGTTCTTTATCTCAGGAAGCAGCAGATTGTGTTGAATCTTAACTTCGTCACAGTCTCCCATCCTGAGCAAGAACAGAGGAGACAGTGGGAAGAAAAACTCCCTTTAACAGGAAGAAACCTCCAGTAGAACCAGCTCAGGACGAG